AATCTACGTTATAAAAAATGGTATTTTTCTCAAACAAATATGTTATACTGTTATTTTGCTCGAAATAAAGAATATTTGGTTTGTAACATATTTTTTGATTTTATGAAAATATTATAATAAGTTAGGTAACTCGTAAGATTCGTGCATGGGGCATATTAAAGTCATGTCGCCAAAAAAAAATAAAAAATGTATTCGTTACGAAAGATGGCCGAGAAAAGATCGGTGGAAATGATGTACATTTGTCTAAAAAGATTATAAGTTGACACATTGTTTTTTTTTTTTTTTTAATAACCGTGGGATCTTAAAGGTTTTCTAGGCCTAAAGACTAATTCCATGAGACCCACGAGAAATCCACGTTATCTTACCACTTAAGGCGTCTCTGGGTGGCCAAGGGAATTCGAACCCAGGGCGGAAACTCCAGCTGAAGCCCTTTTACCACTAGACCAAAGGTACTTGGTTTAAGTTGACACATTGTTGATTGAAGAAACACTATGAGTAATTTTTCTTTGACATATTATGCATATTTAATAGTTTTACGTTATGATTAATTCATAATCTATAAACAAAAGCATCTCGTATATTTGACTTCTTATTAAATTAAGTTTCTCAAAAGTTAAGATACGTAAACAGATGAAAGAATGACATAGAATAAATAAAAAAATCTATTTAAAATAAATTCAATAAACTCAAAAATAAAAATTTCAAATTTCAAAAAGAAAATAGTTATTTACCACAGTCTCCGTACCTGTTTTGTCGAAAACAGATTAAATCTCGTTAAATAAAATAAATATTGCGCTCAAGTTAGTGAAAGGAATTGACTCGTTTGATTGGTAGTTTGGCACCGTATACAACCGTGACAACGGGTATTACCTTCATGTTTAATTTTCCGACACGGCCAGCGATAAGAAGATGATGGTACATATGAGTACTATTATCTTTTTACTGTTTTGTATTGTTTTTAACTCGATAACCATCTTTACCGTGATTTCGCAGTTCGCACTATCGAAAATTCTACCTTTTTTTTTTTTAACCAATACCTTATTTATATTTTTGGTAAGTACGATAATGAAACTTTGTTTTTTTTTTTTCACACGATAATGAAACTTTGTTGCAGAGAGATATCCAATGAATGCATTTATTTATATACACTTTAATGAAAAACGCATATACCATTTAATTGGCATTTATTTATATACACTTTAATGAAAAACGCATATACCATTTAATTGGCTCTATCATAATAATTGTTTTTATTACTATCGCACTATACCCACAAAAAAGTTTTCCTAAAATAATTTACCATCAAGTCATAACCTTTTTTTTTATTATTTTTTGGACAAACCATCAAGTCATAACCTATGATGTAACTTGAAGGACAAATAAAAGTATACAGTTGATGCAAGATGACGACGATTCATACTCATAATCTTGGTATCAATTTCCGTTATAAGAAACAAATACTAATTAATATTTTTGATTGATTGGCATTGCCGCATCGATATTTATCATCAATTCTCTCAAAATTCGGAAACAACCATTTAATTATGGTCCGAATAATGGTACAAACTAAACCAAAAACAAGTGTGGTAAATGGAGAACGAACATTTTACAAGTGCGATGACTGCTTTGTAATAACATCACTTCCATGCGTACATTATTTTTTAAAAATATAGAAATCTGTGATTTCCATTAATGTACTCAACAAGGTTTTTTTTTTTTTTTTTTTGTCATCTGTAATTAAATATTACTCAAAAGAGCCATTTTTGTGGAATGTTGTTTACATAAGTAATATGAAGCGGTTCCGTACGAATTTTTCGTGCCAGATTATACGCTTTTGCATTTGCACAACGAGAAATTAAAGATAAAGAGAAGGTAGAGAACTTTTCCTTGTCGCTCTGAAATTCCTCCAGATACACTGAGAAGGCCGGCCATTTCGGTTGGGGAAGACACCATCTTCACCAGGTCAGAACAGTCTGTAAGGAATGCTACCTCTTGATTATCTGCACCCAATCATACACTTCATCGCCCAAGGAAGG